AATGTGAAGCAGGATCTTGATGAAAGGCCCTCTGCAGACAATTGATCTCAGTAATGATGTAGAGGAGGGGATAGGTCAGACACGCCACTTCTTCTTTCACAGGATTTTCTCGGAGGTGCTGGAGCGAGCCAGTTATAGTATTGCAGTTTGATGGGCTAGTTAGATGTGTCGTGTGATGGATTGTTCTTAAAATGCTCTCGAAAAATGGTATGTTGTGCATCAGCCAATTATGCAAAAAAGGCAGTGTGTACCCAGAGAATGGAGTACTTTCTCCAAAGTAATTAATTAAATTTCTCTCGGAGCTCTTTCTACTTTATTTTGCCACAGCACTTCTTTCACAACACCCTAGCGGATGTTTTTTTTTTTTTTTTTTACTTTTTAGATTGAGTTTTCTTCTCAGTCAATTCAACCTAATCAAAGTGTAGAGGGAAAAAAGACAGGCACAGGCACAAATAGGGATTCAGTAATTGGCCTGTTTTGCATTTCATCTCCAAGGATATTTTATTCACACGCTTGCCTTATAAAGGCTAAATTGTTTCAATTCTGAACTGATTGCGCCTGAAACACAAAAGCGAAGAAAAAAAACTCTGCCCTCATGCCTCCTACGGGGTTGTGCTAAACCACTTATTTCAAACTAAACTGGATTATAGACAAAAGACACAAAGCTGGAATGCCTTGGTTTTCCTGCATAATAGAGCTACAGCACCCAGGGAGCCGTTGCCCGGCTGGTAATTGAACTTATGCTTTTGAATGGTAGACACATTAACCGCCGGCATATTAGGGAGGATGCATATGTTTGTTTATTCAAGAGATAATAGACTTGGGGTTCATGTTGTCCCCCCAGTAATGTGTCCTCCAGAACATCTCTAGAGCACTTCCTGTTTTCTTGCTGCCTATATACTTCTTTGACTTAACCTTTATTTTCCTTAGAAAGTCAGAGCAGTTGGCAAAGTAGGCCAAGAGGAGGAGCAGTGGGGTTACAAATGTGTGCTGAAGTGCAATCAAAGGATTGTTTTATATTCCCAATGCTGCCCAAAGACTTTATTCTGTGTAGAAAAAAGGGAAATCTCAATGTGCAAGTGCAGCACAAGAATGTAAATGAAACGCCGCCTCAGTCCTCAGCATTGACATATGGATGTGGTTAAGATAGTGTCTGAGTATATGCTGCATCTGGGAAGAGTCAGGATGACATATCTGTTTGTCACAGAGCCAGGTATGAGCATGTATGGGAGTGGTCAGCATCAGCACTTTCAGGCCTCCAGAGTTGTATACACAAAACCATGAAACAGACATGCCAACTCGTTGCCCTACGGATGGTGGTCTCATCACAGCAGGAGGAAAGCTGCTTTGCAGAATCAAAGGTACTGCAACAAATCAGCCATAAACAGCACAGAAATTAGCTCAGAGGAGATCTGGGTGTTGTCTGGTTGGGAACCTGGCACAGTGCCCTGTCCATATAACACCCAATTTTGGATGACCTGTTCACTCCAAAAATAGAGGAACCTTTTCTTCCAGTCTCTCTGCAAGAGTGCTCTGAGTTAACTTTTCAGGTGGTGTCTTATAAGCTTGTACTTGGGCCAGAAAGGCAGCTTGAGAGCCTGCAGAAGAGTCTTGTAAATCCAAGCTGGGTCTCCCTGAAGCAGTGATTGAGATGTATTAACACTGCTCTGCAAGTCTTTCTGGCAAAGTCTGCACAAAGTGTAGCCCCTGGGCCTCATGGACCACTTCAGTCCACTTCATCTCTTTGTAGAGTTTGTGCTCACCTGCTTTGATTAAAAGGTGGCTACAGGACCTCTGTTTCTCCGCTCCAGTGACTTTAGGGATTGACTCAAAGTGCACATTGAAACCTGGCGTGTGAGATTTGAAGAGGATGATCTCCATCCATCCATTCTAAGAGTTCATATGAAGTTCAGATGACATTTTTAGTTTGGGCTGTAGGAGGGAGTAATACTTTTGAAGGACCTGTGATTTTAAATGTCATTGATATTTTTGGGTAGTTACATCAATGTAAGATTTTTCTCATACTGACAGTGGCTACTTTTCTATACCGCATTTTTTATTTGTGCACCTATGGCCAAACAATTGTAGTTTGTTTGGAATGTTGTATTGTTAGACTCTTTGTGGTTTTCTAAAGTAGGTTTTAGAGCTCAGAGAGTACCATTTAAACTATACATCTAACGAGAGAGAAGACAATTCAAGATGATGACATCTTGTAAAGTATTGAAGGAGTGGGACATTTTGTATGTTTCTTGCAGAATTAGATGAGAAAATTGACAGAACTTTTCTTCTTCAGTCTGACGATACATATGAAGCTACAGTCAGTAACCAGTTAGCTTACCTTAGCATTAGAGTTTGTATATTTTCTGGTTTTACAGGGGGGTTATAAGCCAGATTATTTTAAATTAATTCTTTATGATAATTTAAACAAACTGGATGCTCACAACTCTCAGCAAGAATGGGAACAATGTTTTTCCCAAATTCTGAACTATTCTTTTAACCTGTATAAAAGGATCCATTTTATCTAGTTGTTCTGGTTGTGTTTGTTTTTGTTTTTAGCACGCCTGAGTGGTGAATCCCACAATCAGCAGGATGCTGCATTCCTGTGTGTCGCTTAAGGGCTTATTAAAATGATGCATAGGCATGGTATTAACCTTTGTTTGACAGGAAGGGGGCCTTATTTACTTCTTGTTTTACTAGACCATTTGAACATAATTCTTTGCCTCATGACTCGTGCTTTCTGTCTTAGCCTTTTACTTGAACTGGCACACTTTCAGTCACTCGCATAAAATTTTCACATGACAAAACCCCACTTTGGTCCCATTTTGGGAACTTTGCACGATGTTAGTTGTATCTCTATATATCGACAGATGTTAGTACTTTTCCTTTTTTATTTATTTTTAATAACATTGAGATAATTGTAATTGTTTGGCATAAACTGCAGTGTTTTGTATTCAGTTGCCTAGCTGTGGTCTTTTGTTTTTTTGTTAGAGCATTCGTTGTCACAGTGGGTTTCCAGTTGGAAAGCAGGTTCATTATGGCTGACTGGTTGAAATGACGATTAGGTGATCCATTAGGTCCCTGCCCGGTACCTTGACTTTATACTACTGATATTTTGTGTTATTTATCAGCATCTGACAATATTTCTCACGATTCTAGCCATCTATATATTCTTATTATATAAAATCTTACTAATTGTCCTGTCTTCCCTTGGAATTCATGGGGAGCTGACATAACACCTTTGGCAGTTTCTCAAACTAATGAGAAATGGTGATGTGGATTGACGCAATGACCTTTTGTTGCCAACGACTTAATAACTTCTTCAGCAGTGGCATATCCTCATGAAATACTGAAGCACTACAGGTTGTTGTCAGGTTTCCCCCAAATGACAGAGATGACCTTATGAAAGTTGTTATATTTCAAAAACTGCTATGAATATTGTATACCAATATTCAGCTCCATGGTGTTGTACATCGGCCACACTGGTGCTCTACGGAAGAGTATAAGAGTATGATACTGATTCTTGCATTCAGTTGCATTGTATTGTAAGGCGTTCCTTCTACTGCACCATAGCAAATATTGTAATAAGTTAGCAGATCAGTTTCATGTTGTTGTCATGGTGTTGACTCCTGTGTTTCCAGGCTCATTTCCTTTGAGGGTGTTGGGCTGCAGCTCTTTGCATTAGTGATCACAAGCACAGAACAAAGCTTTACGCCTGCAGTCAGATGTCCCCAGAGGTTACTGAAGCCTCTCTTCACAGATACAAACTGTAAATGACAATGGACAGGCAAGGAAATCAATATTACACCCCCAAAGCAGTGCTGGTATGAAGTTTATGATTATGGATGAGGCATGTTTGTGCCCTTTGGCATGTGGAGATGGAGAAAGATCACATCCACTGAAATAAAGGTAATGTGAGGTAAGACTGTGTTGCCTTGGATTTAAGTTTAAATAATGAAGAGGATTACATCTAGGACTATGATGCCCTGGAGATTTAGATTCAGAGTGCTCCGACTAATGGAAGAAGCCACTGGTGCATAGTTCATGTATTGATAATCTGTTTTTGTGCATCCGGTAGTACTGAATTATTTCTCATTTTTGTGCCAAAGTACAAGTTAATACTGCAGGACACAAGTGGGCATATCTGTGCATGCTCCAGCTGCTGAATTTAGAGAAAGATCTACACAATAACAAAGGTCATTTGGTCTTAACATTGGAACATGCTTACAGGGAAATATGTCCAGTCATTTTTCAGTTCTCTGCCAGCAAAGTATTAAACAACCAAACACACTATAAATATTTCATAAGTGTTTCCACATAGCATTTGGGAAAGTGTTTAATATCAAGTCTGTAATATGATGAATGGAGTTCATATAGTTATGTTTGTTTTGATATGTCTGTTGAGGACGGGGAGGAGAAAGTCATGTATGAATAGAACATTTATGATATAAGGTCACCTTCATTTATAAACGATAAATGAACTGACTCAGTGTGATTCATCTGGCTTTAATAAGTTAGTGTACCGTTTTTTTCTGCTTGGTCGGTTGGAAAAATGGTTTTAAAAAGTCAATAAGAAAAAGAGAAAGATGGCACTGAATTGATTTGTTCTTGCTTCACAAGGTTTCAAAAAGATCACTTCAGCCAAAACAAAACTTTTTGATGAAACACATATAAAAGCTACTCTTTTGAACAGTTTCTAAATTGTCCTAATTTTGTTCCAGATGGCATTATACGCAGCTGTACTGTCATGGCCATGTATTAGCCATTTCATTCTTGAGACTTAAAGTGATGTAAGATCAGGCATACCTCTGATCAGTTTCCAATCTATAGCCTTGGTCAGACTAAACTTAAAGGTCCAAGAGTCATAAATATTACAACCATCCGGAAAACTAGGTTTGGCTTGATGCTCTCATTGTGCAGTATATTTTCTCCAGCCATCGTTCCTTTTCTTTTCAGTGGATTGAGGGTTTGATCCCTGTTTCTGTGTTTTCTTTGTCTTACAGAGAAAGAACGTCCACCTGCTGCTGAATGTATTTTTGCTGGCAGCCTGGGGAGCTGTACTGTTGGCCTGCCGCTTCTACTGGATGGGTAATAAACCTCCCAACTTCTCCAACTCCGACAACCCGGCAGCCGACTCACCATCGCTCCTCACCAGGATGCTCACCTTTTTCTACCTGCCTGCCGTCAACTTTTGGCTTCTCCTTTGCCCGGATACACTCAGCTTTGATTGGTCAATGGACGCCCTGCCATTGATCAGGAGCCTCACTGATTGGAGGAACTTTCATACAGTCGCCTTCTACCTTGGATTGCTCTTGCTTGCTTGGTTCAGCCTGTGGATGCACCAGACAGCTAAGGGCAAAGACACCAATGGCAAAGCGCATCATTACACCAATGGCAGAAATGGAAACAGTAATGGGCACAGTTACCAATATAACAATCATGAACATATGAACAATTCCCACACAGACACTCACATTACTAGTGCACAAAATGGCACCAAAAAGCACTATGAGAGCAGGACTCCACTGCCCACCTCTGAAAATGTTGTGGTGTTCTCTCTTGGCTTGTTGGCTATCCCTTTCCTCCCTGCCACAAATCTGTTTTTCTATGTGGGGTTTGTGATAGCAGAGAGAGTACTGTACATCCCCAGCATGGGCTTTTGCTTGCTGGTTGCAGTGGGGATGAGGTCTCTGTACATCCGTCTGCAGCGCAGGTCCTCCAGGGCTATGTTGGTGTATTTCAGCGCTGCCCTGGTTCTGCTTTTTGGTGTCAAAACTGTTTTGAGGAACCGGGACTGGCAGAATGAGGAGATGCTCTACAAGTCAGGGATTTATGTCAATCCTGCTAAAGGTATGGCTCAATTTGGAATCATTCGAATCAGCATGCACGCAGGTTAAAGTGCTCTAATATATCAAGGGGTAAGAACCACAGGGGTGGAAGTGACATTCAACCAACTTCATAGAAAAAAAAGTAACCATTCTTTCTGACGTTGTGTATTAAATTAGTCTTTAATGTTAAAATTCCGTAAACATGTAGATAGTCAATATTTTGACTTTAATTGGCTTTTCTTTCCATCTTTAAATACAGTTTTATCCCCAAATAGTTCAGGGTGTTCTTTTAGGTCTTTTGACCTTTTGATTTTTGATTGATAACTCTGGATTGGTTTAGAATTTAGAATTTAGCCAGTAGAAAGAGCTCAACAAGAGCTTTCATTTGATATATAACTATTTGTCACTTACGCCCCTCAACCCTTGATATGTACATACACACTTTTTTTTGCCCTTTCATACACATTCCCACACAAAACCAATTTTTTTTTTACCAATTATATTTGGTTGTCTGAACAGTGAGCAAGCTTTTAGACAAGGTATTGAATGTGATAATGTGTGCTGTCTGTCTGCTGCTTCCCTGAATAATTCAAAGTAAAGCTGCTTCACAATGTCTTCTTTTCATCACTAAGCCTTACCCCAGAATATACAGTTGCTAACTAGTTGAACTCAATGTCCCAGAAGCAGAATGAGACTGGTGTGAGTTGTACCCACTTTTTTACTATTCTTCCAAAGAATACAACAGACTTGTATCTCTTTTATCACACATCTTCTTATACCCAGCATGCAGTCTGTTTAATGACACCAGAAGCCCTGTCTCACTTGGAATGGCACCATCACCCGTCTCGGATTGGCACCTTTAACAGCAGATAAAATATTCAGCAGCCTTCACATTCAAGGTCATCAGACACAGATTCCTATCCAAAGCAAAGTTCTTAGAGCTGCTGAGGAGGGAAGCAAGGCAGGGTACTCGCAAGGCAACAGCGGGACATGTTGTGTTAGCTAATTTCCCTTTCAGATTCTGCAGCAGAGCTGAGGCATGACAGCTGTTTGTTTTGGCAGGCCATCAGCCGAACAGAGCAGCAGCAGTGTCCCCGACTCATATTCATTATAGCTAATATGAGATTTGAACAGAACACAACCTCAAACACAGACTCAGTCAATGGAGCATTTGAACTGTGAAATTTGAGGATGCACAAAGCAGCTCTTTCCTGTAAAAGAAACCTCATAAATGAATTTGTGCTTTGTGGATGCACAGTTGAATGATGGAAGCTTTAGGTTGTTTTTCTGCTGTTTGTACTGAATATTCTTCTGGGATTCTGTAGTTGTTATGATTTTCAACAACTAAATACTGTAAATACATTGCTTAAAGGCACGCTGCATATTTTAGCACTTTAAACGCATGTCAACAAAAGCAGCATGAGCCAGGACTTTATCTTTCCATTCAATATGACTTGTGGAAATGCAAGAAGAAATCTTTACACATACAAGCGTTACACTCCTGCATTGATACACAACACCATAAATACACAATTTATTTTTATTTTTTATTTTTATTTTTTTGGGGGGGGGGGGCAATGGCAATGGCCACGGCAGTACGGACTTAGCCTTGGTCCAATCGGCATTTGCTACTTTTTTACATCCAATTATTTTCTTTTTGTTCTCTTCTCTCTTATATTTATTTTTACACTCCGCAGTCTCTGTAGAAAATCTACAAAAGCTCTTAGCAACCTTATTTCACCTGTCGCTTACTGCACTCTGCCATTCAACACTAATGCCGTTAGCTGTCCAATAGCACTGTGGTGGTCTTCTTTTCATTCACACTGTCACAGGAATGACTGGTGGTTTTGGCACCAACCTCCCCTGGCGTCTCAGCTCTCTTTATCCATGTCTTGGTATACCAGCTGCAATAGAACAATATTCTCTTCAGAGGTTAAAAAACACTGAACCCACGTCAGTAAGTGGCTGTGAATAACAAAAGAAAATCATTACTCACCACTGAAATGTCCTCTCCTGCTGCTTTAATCTCAGAGCCTTTTATGATTCTGAAAAAGCTGTATTAAAGAAGGTTGCCACAGATTTTCTCTTATATCCTGTTCGATTAACCTTTTCCTTTGTAACCTACCAGCATGGGGCAACCTTGGAAATGTCCTGAAGAGCCAGGGCAAGATGGAGGAGGCTGAACAGGCGTACAGGAATGCCCTCTATTACCGCAGCAACATGGCTGACATGCTGTATAACCTGTGAGTTTGTGTTTTGTAATTTTTTGTGTTGTAATTGATATTTTCTTATTCTTTTTGTTATCAACTTTTTATATATTTTCTTATTCTTAATGCTCGAATTAATTTGCCTTTGATTTCGCTTAGTATTTGTTAATGTCAAAGTGTGGCTGTAAGGCTTTTTTACTTGATTTTAGTGTCTCATTGCTGTTTCAATGAGGAGTGTGTGCAAACAAATGGATGAGTTCTCCTTTTACATGCATGTGTCTATTGATCAGAGCTGTTCTCTCAGAGGAAGGGCCGTGTAGTCTTGTATTCTCTAAAGTGCTATCTGTCTGACAGGGTTATAAATTATGCTGTTTGAGCCTGAGGGGGGGAGACAAAAAACATCCAAAGCCAAAACTCAGTATGCTCAAATGTCTGTGGTTTGCTAAGATCTAAATCTTCATCTTTAGTTTAATCAGCTGCTTGTGTTCTTGTCTAATCCTAACAGAGGCTTTTGCTTTAAACATCTCCTCTTTTGAGTTTTTTTAAGCTCTGAAGTGACTGTACAATCTTTCCTTTTGTCTGGTCCAGGGGTTTGCTGCTACAGGAGAGCAACAAGTTCTCAGAGGCACTCCACTACTATAAGCTGGCCATTGGGAGCCGGCCAACTCTGGCTTGTAAGTACAGCTCTTCTTTTTTATTGACAATCTCCAGCTCTTGTGGTTGTGGCTGTGCTGTGTCCAGGCAACAGTGAGCACAGGCTGTGGTTATGTGAAGGAAGAGGAATAGGTGGCAAAGGGCAGTGGGTATACAACTGGATTCAACATTCAACACAGCTGTCTGACTGGTTTTCAAAGCCAAGTCATGTCAACAGATCAAGCAACTGCATGATGTAATTTATCACAAATTCAGGGCATGACACTCATTTTATTTCATCACTCCTATGTTCAAATACTATTTCTTTCTCTCAGTTTAGTGTGTCTCTTCCTCCTCATTGCTCATCACTCTTCTTGTCCTTCCACTGAGAATTCACCACAATCTTCCTGATGAGCACAAATGGCTCACAATCTTACCTGATCATGCACTAAATTAGCTCCCCATTGTTCTAGGCATCAGTCAATGACAGATAAACAGAGAATCTTAAACGTCTCTTCCTTTCTACCCCCGGATTAATTAAAGACCTAATCAAGATCCCGGTTAGACTAGAAAATTTCCATTCAGCGTGCAATTATTCAATCTGTTATAGCTGATAACAAGGTTAATTAATTACCTTAAGCGGCAGACATGTTGAAGGAAGAATTAGAATGTGACAGTTCAAGCTTTTTTCAAGGTTACACCATTACTCACTGCCTAATTAGGAGCTAACTAGTGCAAACTGTAGCATTGTTTTATTTATATGCAGGACTATTCTGCTCTGTGTTAAAATGCTATTGGTTTCTGTCACAGCCATCAGTTTAGAAGGCTGATGAAATTGGAAAAAAAACCTGCTTTTGTCTGTCTGTGGTTTGTCTTATCTGTTCCACTTTCAGTTTAGATCCATGCGATGGAGAAAAGTCTACATATTGACCCAAGAATGCAATACCATAGGACTGATAAGGCTGTGCGGTGTAAGGATGTGGAATAAAATAATGTGAGCTTTTGAGATAACTAACTCCAAAGGCAGAAGAGGAAGAAGATAATTGGTTTGTTGTAAGAAAAGGCTTTGTGATTCACAGCCACGCCCCTTTTACTTGATTATATGTCAACACCTTGTAGAAGAGCCTTCCAGATTGATCTGCCGTGTCAAGTTAATTTATTCCAACAGCCAGACTTGATAGGGAGTTGTTTGGAGAGGCAGGTCCATGGAGACTAATTACTCTCTGGCTGCATGTGGATCATTAGATGTTGTCTTTGACCGCTCGTGGAAAAGTTTAGCAGGGGTCCAAAGTATCCCAAAGGCAGCATACAAAGGTCAAAGGTACAATAAAGCATGAATACGATATGTGGTTTACAGTGGTTTACTGTTTCACCTCAAAGATACTTTAAATGGCCAATACTCATCTTTACAGCAACATTGATCTCTGTGGCTTCAGGTCAGGGAGAGACACTTGTAAAGGAATTAACTATTTTGGGAAAATGGTTATCCACATAGAGTTAGCAGAAAAGACTCTTTTCTTTGAGGGAGCTGTTAAAGAATCCAAGCAGCAACAATGATTCCCTAAATAAACACATACAGGAAGATAAAATCTTAGTTAAATAAAGAAAACTGAAAAAGAAGGAGGTTTGGATGGTGGAGGAAGCTGCAGTCATAAACGGTGTTGGCATGAACGCACTGTATGAGCAGAATATTGTTGAGAAGAGTCAAGTTGTAGTGGCCGCACTGTACACCTGCCAGATTCTTAAGCATGAAGGAAACAGCTGTTACCAATCAGCCAGTGCGTGCCCAATGTAGGTGCTCTGCCTGATCTCTGTTTTGTTTTCCCATCAGCGGCCTACTTGAACACAGGCATCATCCTGATGAATCAGGGTCGCCTAGATGAGTCCAAGCGCACCTTCCTGACCTGTGCTGATATCCCAGATGAAAACCTGAAGGACCCCCACGCCCACAAGAGCTCAGTCACCAGCTGCTTGTACAACCTGGGCAAACTGCTCCATGAACAAGGACATCAGGAGGTAACGACCTGTAACTGTGGAAACGTATTTCACATTCGGATTTTTAAAATCCTTAGAGATACATGTATGTATTTCAGCACCTGGAGCAGTAAATTCTCATAACTCCATGGTACTGTTGATGGGACTTGATTTAAGTTCATTGCCTCATTGTTGTAGAGCTAGAATAACTCATGTATTTATTATTTATTTAAAGCTGATAAATGTGAAAGCCAATATATTATTTGTCAATAATATTACCCATAGAACACTTGCCACAATAGAGAATAACAAATCCATAAAATGCACCACATAGAGATCAAAATACTGTGGTTTTTATCTTTATAATATATTTTGCCCATCAAAATATGAAATGTAAAATACCTTGACTGCATTTCCTGTAGTTCAAATGCATCTACAATACTGTAAGTGGCCACGTTATCAGGTACACCTGTACAGTCTAATGCTGTCCAATGCGACTGTTCTGCCATATGTCCTAGTTAGTGATGGTGTTGCAATGAACTGCATTGTATTTAAAGGTGTTTCTAATATTCATCCCTCCTCATGTAGGAAGAAGTAGTCCAGTACAACACTTCTAACTATGACCTCAATAACAAACACAGAGTTGAATTTACACTTTTCTAACAATTGCCACTGAGTGTATTTTGGCTTGTATGTATGTATTTTGCAACATATCTGAAAACTGTCTTACAAACAGCCCCATTGCTAACATGAGAGTTCACAGAGTGCTACTTTACATACAGTTCATGCTGGAAAATGTAAAGCCATAGTGAATTGAGATAAAATGCAGGCAGTCGCCTAAGGAGCCTTCGGGGGACACTGAGAAAATGCGCAGTTTTACATGGACATGTTTCAAAATTGCCTGTGTCATAGGGGACGCAGTGTTTTTTGCAGATAATCTTCAGGCTGTTTCTAACAAATTTGCTCTCTTTCATGCCCCTGAAGACCTACATTGCTGGCTAAAGTAACTCGTTTTCCAATGCTGCACATTTATATTGTACACAAGCACTGATGCTGCTGATTCAATCAGGAATGAAGCAGTGGTACTGCAGATTCAATAAAGGCTTTTATAAATTGTTGGCATGCCGAAGAAAGAGAGCAGTCCCACTTCCTCCGACCTCTAACCACAACATTTCCTTTAGCAATAATGTAGTTTCAGCTCCTTCTACCATTTAAACTCTGAGGGACTCTGAGGTGAATCGCTGTACCTCAACTCTATACATACCAGAGTCAATATGTGACACTGCTCTAGTCGTCCTAACAGCCGTGACACTGAGGATAGACCCTTTCTGGATAGACTCTGTATAAACCAGCCTCCCAAGCGACCCCCAATTCCACGCTGTGTATTCACAATGTCAGGGCCCCGGCTGCAGGGGAGGAATGACTAGTTACTCCACCGCCAGTTTCTCTGGCGGGGTCTCTCCGCTCTCTTATGCAAACATCCCCCACCTTCTTTTTTTTATTTGTTTCATTCACAGGAGGCCCTCACAGTGTTTAAAGAAGCAATACAGAAAATGCCAAGACAATTTGCACCACAGAGCCTCTACAACATGATGGGTAAGAGCTGCTTTTGTACCTAAATACCTAAAGCATAAAATCTGTTGTTTTTAGGCACAGGAAAAATAACAGACAGCGGAACTGAGAGTTAAGGGTGATTTCTGGAGTATTTTGGAGCAATTGGGTGCTATACATCATGATTTTTTGTTTTACTTTGTTGTTCTGGGTCTCTTAAAACAAACAACTTTTGTGTTTCTTCTGGACCAGCAGCGTCCAAACTGTGTGAGTTGAGGTTGGAACTAAATCAATAGAATGATTGCTGTTTGTGATTGTAGATTTCCGTTAATGATTAAATATTTTCATGTGTAGAAAAGAGGAGGTCAAACATCTGTCATATCGCTTGTGCTGTGAGAATTCAGAAGCTGTTAACCACGGGTTTAGATTTCCAGTTGTGAATCCTAAACCTGGGGCTTACTGTAAGCCCTTGCTTAATAAATATGAAGATAAAAAGTAGGTTAAGCTTACTCTAGCCTTTTGTAGCCTAGAGTTTAGATTAAAACAGGGCTTAGATGCAGTGCAAAAACTTTTAAGGAGTGTTATAATAAAGTAGATTGTCAACATCAAGCAAACAACCATTTTATATCAATTTATATCTTGGAACTCCTTGTTTGAAACAGTGTTTTGACCAGACAGTAGTAAGGTTTGGAATATCATGTTAAGAGTTGATTTGCATGTTACTGCAAGAACAAGCCAGTGTGTTTGATTACAGCTGTAGAACAGCTGCTTTCAGGCTCATTATAGCTGCTTTCTCTTTGCTTTTTGTTCTCCCTCCTGCTTTCTTTCTGTCTCATACACATGCAGCAATTTACACACACACACACTTCAAGCCTGGGACGTGTGTAATCCAGACTTGGTAGTGCCACAGGTTCACTTATGTGTTGGCAAAATGCAATTTGACAGACCAGCTGAGATTATGTCAAAATGTTGATGAAAGCTCCAGTAACCGTTAAGGAGACGCGCTGCGTCTGTAATGGAGGCAGTGAGCCAGAGATCCGTGATTTCTGCAGCTTAGCGTTGTTTCCTTGCTGAACTGATTTGCACATTTGGCACACCTGCTCATATGTATTTCCAGTTTCAGTCACTGTGCAGCTCTCATGCTGTTTGTCAGACGCCAGAGAGCAGGAGCTTTCATCAGAGGGAGACCTGGGTGGTAATCTGCACCCTGCTGGTCCAGCTCCAGCACTCTCCAGTGGGCCGAGGAATGTTCCACTCCGTGGAGCTGGTTTTCCATGTCACTTCTAATTGCACGTCGATGTTTGTGCTAATCTTATACAGAGGTCTGCTGCCAGGAGAGCCAGACCAAGTGTTTTGGCTGCTTTTAAACCCGTCAACAAATGACAGGGTTATGTCAAAGCAGACATGTACATAATTTTTTTTTAAATAGTTCAGTGCCTTGGGTTGGTGGTAAATCTCTGAAATCCAGAGAATCATGTCTATTAAACATATTGATGATTTATTTAACTAATGTTATTCACCATTCTTTTTTTTTTTTTTTAAAACATGCTGTGCTCTTGCACTTGTCAAATAGTATTAGTCTCTGTTTGGAATGAAAAATAGACAAGCTGGCCATGGGACTGTCATATTTGCAATATTCTTCAATCCAGTCTTTTGCTCTGTTTGATGTGAGCTGTTGACAAGGGCATTTTTGATTATATAGCTACAATATCATAGATATCCAACACTTAAATCTGAATAAAAGGCTGTACTGATGGATTTCAGCTTGAAAATATATGCTCATGTATTACTTTACATCTCGGGGGAAAGGTCTTAGTCTAGAGCTGAATTTTTTTCCACAACAAAAGGAAGTTACACCCTAAATTTGATGTCTTTTACATGTTTCTGTCTTAAAAGGTATCATTACATAGCATTATCGCTCACAGTAAAAGGAGAAAGTGTGTTTTCAAATCATTAAAAAGGCCCACGTGTTGTGATTACGCATGTGACACCTGTTGCTTATCACATTTTCCGATGAAGGAAGTGATTAGTCCTAATCCCCACGGATTTAAAGTTTTGGTCCTCTCCAGCCTAAACAAATTGTCTGCTCATTTGAAATATAAACCAAGTTACAAAGTTCTAGTGGAATTTTAACAACTGGGATACATTCAGTCTCTTCCCCTAATGTTGATTTTAACTGTGTTGTGTCCAATTACCATCCGATGTTGTCAAATTCTTGCAATAATACAAGTGTTATTGGATGGCTATGAAAAAGGGGTTATTGTTTTTTCAGGTGTTCGCAGGCGGAGGGTCAGATCTGGTGGTGGGGGAGGTATCAGATCTGTCTGACAGATCAGGGAGAGTGCGGGAGTGTATAATAGACTCAGTAATATTCTCCTGTAGTTTTTTAAGCCTCACTCTTAAATCAGCTTATTTCAGTTTTTAAGAAATAAAAATAACTACAATTATTTAAATAATTACTTACTGGGTATCAGGTCTGCTGTGAAAGACATGGAAAGTAGGTTTAATTGTTTGTCGTTAATTGTTTCTGCAGAATGAACATCTGCATTCTCTTAGTTCAGTGCCAGACAAGGAAAAATATCAAACATGGGGTTTGAGGCCGGAATTTCGTGCCCCACTGGACTGAGGTTTGGTGTCACTGTCATGGAAACCCGCAGTCGAACAATGGGAAGATGTGTGATGTCTTAACCTCTGACAACTTGACCCCTGACTCGACCCGCATTTTGCTCCCACAGGAGAGGCCTACATAAGACTGAACAAGCTGACTGAAGCTGAACACTGGTACAGAGAGTCCCTGCGAGCCAAGCCAGACCACATTCCTGCACACCTCACTTATGGCAAACTCCTGGCTATGACAGTAAGACTTCATTTTTTGTGTCTTCTACGTTTTAAGGCGAAGAAATTCTTTCTTTTACAAATATAACTTAATATTTGTAAGAAACAAAACTAAGTGTCTTAAGTTAGATTTATACTTGTGCTAAGGGGCTATGCCATACCGGTTGCTACATGTGTAGGTTTCAAGATTACGCAACAGGCTGCGATATAGTTGACGTGCATCTTCTAAAAAATTAAGCTACATATTGGGGCTACGGACTCCACGGAGATAGGCCTTCCACGTGGGGCCTGGAAGAACTGTTACTAGCTGCTTGTGTTTTCACCTACAGGTTTCAGGTGCAGGTGGAGAAAAAAGTCAAAGAAAGACTCTCAGTAGTCGTCTCCTTTTCAGTAACAAACATCCTACAAAGCAGTTGCACTGCAGACCTTCTGCTCACCTCGATCTTCGCTCTAATGAACAGTGATTAAACTGTGTTTGTCTTCTATTCAGTAAATAATGTGTTTACGCTCTGTATCACAAAGTAAATGAAACAATGTAAACACAGTTACTGTAGGGCATACATCTAAAACCTGTTATTGTTTAATCATGTACAATACAGTGCATGTGTCTACTATTGCAGTGTTATCCACATCAACTCAACGCTATAATATAAATCAAAACCTACTCCTGTTAATCCTTTGAGTTGACTATAAATTCAGCTCCACTCTCTAGTGGATGTGTATTAATGTTAATCAATCAAGTCCCATTCACAGACAACTGTATCAAACCGGTGAATTTCTGGTCTGAAGTCTGCCTTGCTGACTTCTACATGTCTGATCTCACATTCTTGCTTGTCTGAACCAGTTCTCATTCTCTACATGTCTCTACAGTTTCTTGCACTTTCTTTTTTATTGCACTCTCTTTCATCTCTGCTGGCTTTTCATCAGTTCTCTCCAGCTCTTTACTGATGGCCGTAATGTTGTCCTGAAGTCTCTACAGTTAATCAATAGTGTGTGGGTGAGAGAAAGGGAAAAGATTGGAAGAGAGTGAGCAATGAGAGAAGGTGGTCACGTAGTGTTTCTCAAGACGCTCCTGTCTGTCATGGGAATAGCAATTCTTGATTAAAAATCTTGTCCTTGCTGCCCTGTTTTTGCTCTGTGTAACTTGTTGCTAGGTCTTAAAAGAAGCTGTATTTGCAGCTTTGAATCACAAGTGAAATAAATATAAGGCATTTATCTTTCTCTGCAAAATAGAGAATTGAAATCTCTGAACAAAATCTGTTACATTTGCCCAGCATTTTCCAAGACGGCAGAGATAATATCCTCACAGGGTCACACAGCTGACCTGTTTCTCAATAACAAAAGAGAATGCTGTCTATGTGGAGAGGGGGCAGGGGCAGAAGCAGTTTCTAGAGTCCCTGAGTTTACGAGGAGGTGGTCATGAGGTTGGGTCATACAGCCATCCGTTACAGATCGCAGCGAGATAGGCATATTTTAAGTAGAGCTGACCAAGAGGAGCAGTTAGAGCTGAAAATGATTGCCAGAAGAGAAATAAACAAGTTAGAAGAAGAATTACTCAGAATGTCAAAAGAAGGGTGGGAGCCTTCAGCTGACACCCCTCTCTCCCGCAGTCTGGGCCCTAATGAAAGGAAGTAAATGTGTTCAAAAGCCTGGAGCGGTGAGATCTGGATTTCCACAGAAAAGCTAGAGTCTTCCCAGCCCTGTCCCTTTTCATTTCCTTCATGGAGTCTTTTTCAAGTCCTTTTCATTTATAGTCTTTCTAAAATTATAAGTTTGTATGTTTTACAACTGATACATGTGGAAAAATTTTACTTAAAAATAAAATATCATTTTTTGTTAGTTTTTATATCACCACTTTACCTTAGGACCTTAAAGGAATAGTTTCACTTTCTTGCAGAGTTAGATGAAATGATTAATACCTCTCTCATATCAGTACGTCAATATGGAGCCACCACCAACAGATGCTTAGTACTTGGAAACAGCTAGCTAGCCCAAATTACTAGTTTGTAATTACTGTATCTGGGTTATTTAAACTGTACAAAAACTGAAGTGTCATGTTGTGACATATTGCGGTTTTAGTGAGTTTCAGAGTTGCTGGAAGACAGATTTTGTTACCTTTGGACAGAGCCAGGCTAGCTGTTTCCTCCTCTTCCCAGTCTTTGTGAAAAGCCATGCTAATATGTTGCTAATGGTAGCTTCATATTTACCATAGAGATATGATATCAATCTCATCGAATTCTCTGTAATAAAAAGTGAAATGTTCCTTTAATCTGAACATTGTGTTAATGCATCCTCTGTGAAGAAGTCTTACAGTTGTAGATCATTGTATGTCTAAATTAAATTGAGCTCCAGCATCATTCTAGATTGATTTCTCAATCTGTAGTCAGACAGATGGTCAGCTTAAAGAATAGTTTAACTGACACCATGGATAAAAGTTGTTTGTTAAGCTGACATGAATTCCTCTCCGTACAAAAGCCACTGGACATCAAAAAGGATCTGAATCCAAATTCTGTCAGCGAGGACAATCTAACACAATTCTTTAGAGGAGAGTGTTAAGACGTGGTCAAGTGGACTCAGGGAAGAATTCAGTGGGCCGTGAAGAAAAACTCATTTTATTTAAGAAAGTGTTATTGATTTTGGAGGAAAGTAGAGCTCGAACCTACAGGGATGAATCTCTGTAGATCTGTGACTATGATGGATGGTAGAGCGATTTTGAACCCCCTTGATCCTGTGAATGCAAACAATGCCATCAGAGAAGGGAACTTAGTTGTTTGGACAAGCTTGGTCCCTCTTTATCCATGAGAAAAAGTTAGAAAGATTTCAGATTTGAATTTGAGTTAGGGTGCCATTTTACCATTGTGGCTATGGTCTCTGTGCCTGATGACAACAGTATTTAAGGATGATCAAAACCAGTGCAGGAAGTTGACCTGCCCACCAGCCCCCGCCTCTTTCATCCCCTGCCTCGGCACTCCCTGTAGCACCAGTGTGAGTGATGAAGAAGCTTCAGATACTGTCAGGAGTTTTGAGGTTCAGATCCCTACGGGAGAGGTGGAGAGGCTGCGAGATAAGGCTTGACAGCAGGGTCAGAGCAGGGTGAGAGGAGGACGGTGGAGCATGAGCTGGTAGCTGAGGCGCAGAGAGTAAAGAGTTTCTGTGATTTGTGGATGAGGGGAGGAAAGTAAATCGGAGGAAAGTAGAGTTAATCACAGATCAGTGTCACCTTCCCGCTGCGCTGACCCCTCCACACCTCCGCTGCCACCCCGGGGGTTCAGGATGTGTTTCGGGGCTCTACACAGAGATGGACACAGCCGCCTTGATGCTTGTTTTATTGGAATTCAGTCATCTACTTGTCATTTCCTTAGCTAATACGATGCAGGCTTCATTCATAATCACATCGGCGTCCACAGAGCCATAGCTACATCTGCAGTTTATCTGGTGTTATCAGGAGAATTAAATGTGTGAGTCACGCACCAATAAGCTCAGCATGTGTGTGACAAAAGGGAGGATATTGTATCCAGCTGACTAGAATGAGAAGTGGATATATTTTATGGTAGCATTTGGTTTGAAGGGTGGTTGGCAGTTTGTTATTGACTTCCTGTATCAGTTCTCCTGAAGCTAGTGGCCTCAAGGTGTTCAATTCAACAAAGAAGGAGCGTTGTCATGTCAGGAAATGTGGAAATGGTGTGACAGCAAGCTAGCTGGCTGTGGTTTTCACTGATCCTCATCTTTGTCAGTTCGACTTCCGTTAGCACTTATGTCACATAGAGAAGCTCATATTTTTTCCACTATATAAATTCCATTTCAGGAAGAAAAATCCTGGCCTGCAAACAGACAACTAAAGATGCATTTCCATTCTGTAAGTCTGACAATTGTCTGAGGAATATTTAGTTTGTCGATCCCTTACCAGGGAACAAATCTCGTTAGTCCACATTATCAAGACTTGTCAGCATGAATGCCAAATGGCTGCCTTTATAAAGCATTTTTATCTAAAAATCGCAAATACTTTGGTTTACAACCAAATATTGGCAAAACTCCAGCCTGAGCTGTACTTTGTGTTTAGTGGCAGTTAGTAAATTAAGATGCATCATGATGCAGCATTGTCATTGTTAACAATAGCCTGCCAACATTAGCATTTAGCTCAAAGTACTTCTGTGCCTAATTACAGTTCACAGAGCTGCTAGCATGGTTGTGGACTCTTGTTTGCACACACTAGAGTTCTCCACAAGCCTAAACCTGAGACCCGAAGTTCACCCACATCTTCAAGCCCTGACGTAATTGAACCTGATGGGTACTGCCAACTTTGAGAATCAATCCAAGATCCTGAGCCTATATGCTTTCTTCGTTTTATCTTTGCATTACTGAATGTTGCTGTGGTTTGCCAGGCATGTGCAACACATTGGCTGTACTCTTTACACCTCTTCTAGGCAATGTTGCAACAACACATATGGATGCACAAGACTGGCACAGTCAGAGAGAGAAAATTCAGAAAAATTCCATTTGACAATAACCAAACCTGATTTAAAGCAAAGATTGGGTAGCACAGATTTAGCACAAACCTTTCCTGAACAAAAAAATGTTGAATAAAAAAAAACATAATAATTTCTCTCCCTGTCCTAAGCAGGGTTAGTCATACCTTAAGTGTGGGGGGGTAGTACTTATATTGAGTTGGAAGCACTGCCATGATTTTGAGTAGGCAGAGAAAAACAATAACAAGAAAATGTAGTGCTGTGTGGGTTTCATGATTATTCAGACATGCAGGTGAGCCAAATGAGTTATAATCCAGAAATCTGAAGATGAAAGAGAATGCAGTTGCCAGTTTAAGGGCATTCAACAGTGAAGTAATCTAACAAGTAGTGTAACAAATTGCCTCTCTAGGGATTAATAAGAACTGTAATAACATTTCTTTTAAGAAGAGTAGTGAGAAATGAGCAACCTGTTACTGTTTTGAGGTCCTAGCTCCTAACTGCCTGACTAGGCATGGCATCCATTAATATGCTTATACATGTCATAATCCAAATCTTCCATCCACTCACAAATGCAACTCATTTCAGAGTGTGAAAGCTTAATTCTGAGGTTTACCAAACGTAGACGTATGTTATTATAAAACCAGCTGGCCCTCAAACATACACATTCCTACATCTGTGAATACGAGTATAAAAATACACAGAGATTATGCTTTTCAGACTGGAACTGTGATCACTACTTGGACACCATCAACTCTATTAAACATATACTTAGCACAGGCATGATTTTCCGCAGCATCAAGAAAAACCCCATTCAGATATTTACATTAGAAAATTATGTATTTATTGATTCTGCAGCTCTCTGAAAATGTATATGCTTGACTTAGTATACAGTCATTATTGCGACACTATACTGATTGGTAATGTGCTGTGTTTCACACTGACTTCATACCATATATTGTTTTTTCTGGCTTATGCAATCTTTATTAAATCCTACTTCATCTTTTCTGACGCTTTGCCATTTTACCTCAAACCTTTATAGACTCCAAATTAACATTATATTATTAATAATGCAAAGGCATTACCTTTTAATGAAACACACTCTGCATTGTTAATGCTAAAACATCAACTTTTATAGATGAGTGCACATTGTTAATTGTTGATCAGATGGCATCTGGTGCCCAACTGAGAGCAGGGATGTGTCAAAGTCCCAGCTGGCACTTCTATTGGCCAGCTGCTCTGTTCTGTTTGAGCTGTGATTGGTTACGTGTCACAGTCTAAAGGACCTGAGGGAGCTCTTGTGGTCCACAGGGCTTCAGTGATGCTTTCCCTCATCATGCTTTGCTCACCCTCCCAGTATGGATTATTTAATCTCTCTAAAGGCTAGAACAACACTGCACACACAGAATAATACCTCAGTGTGTGCTCCAAGCACCTGTGCATGCATATGTGAACCTAAAGATCCTATTAAAATGTATACATATAAATGATCGAGCTCACCGTTTCTCTCTCTTTCTGTCTCTTACCTCTCCTCTCTTTTCCACCCTCCCGCTCCATTTCCATCCAATGCTCTCTGTCTTGCTTCATAGTGGTCAGGCCACACACACCGGCAATCTGTGGTTATGCTCTAGAAGTGTTATTTGCACAGATAAAAGTGTGTAATGAATGAGCCTTTGCCCTGTCTGGTCCGCCGTGCCAAGCATGACAATGTGTACTTTGACAGGACGACACATGAGCTTGAAAGAATAACACTCGTGGTCCATGTGTTTCATGTCTATTTATTAAGATTTATTGTTAAAGTAGGTCTGCGGTTTGGAGAGGGACATTAGGTATACACAAAGGTATTTTGGCCCTTGAGCTGAGTGTGGTGTTTTTATAATGAGCAGTTTTAAGAAGCAGTTGAAACAATAATGACACTGTGTTTAATCTGTCTCCCTCAGGGGCAGAAAACAGAAGCGGAGAGGTACTTCCTGAAGGCCATCCAACTCGATCCCACAAAGGGAAACTGTTACATGCATTATGGTAAGTATAGATTTAAAAAATGTTTTTGTTTAACTTTCAATTTGACATATCCTGACTTCATTCTTACATCCTCAAATCATACATTTGGCAATTTACCACATACGTGCACTTGTGTGCACAAAGGCAGGAACTTACACACCTTGGCTGGTTGTTCAGACAACAGTGTTGGCTGACCCCTTTGCCATCTCTTCCTCCACTCAGCCATGGTGTCAGTCTGCACATGGTTAGTGGAGGATCGCAGAAGAGAGGATGATTTCCTCAGATTGTTCTCTTTCATTTGATGGAAATAAGGAACGTGACAATTTCAGCGTCTCTTGTCTTACATTATTTCCATGTGACTCGACATGACTTGCATCCAATTTCTTCGATATATAATTACTGTCATAGTAAGATTGAGTTTGAATAAGCTGACAAGTTAATTGTGTCCTTCCTTCAAAATCCTTTAAAACCTTGTCTGTCTGTTTTATGACAAACTGAGGTGTCAGCTGGCTGTCATTGCACCTGCGTGTGTGTGACATTTAAAGCGATCAATACACCAGGTTAATTCAGGATTTCTGCATTTTCTTGAAGTACTATATCTCTACGGTGTCACCTCTTAAGAACTCTGTTTAAGAAAAGGTTAACTTTATTGATTCACACAAGGAAAGAGTGTCATTGCAGAGGCAAAGAACAGGATATAGATAGACATGCAATTGATAAATGATTAAAGGTGGAGTTTCCACATTATATAAACTCTCCTTTTCTATTCCTTCAACACAAACCATCCATTTGACAGTATCTTACTCTGATCAGGACTGGGTGCAAGTAGTTTACAGATGTAGTTTCCATATGTTTATTGTTTAAGCACAAATTTGGATACACAAAATGGTGTTGCTGGATAGTCATAACTGGAGTTGTTTTTTATATGTAAATGACCACACAAACCCCAAAGCTTGGGTTTCCCACTGTCTTGGAACTGGCCAAGTTCTGTGTTGACAACTAAACCCTCCAATATTCTCATAAAAGTCACAGTGTCACATGATAAATTAAAGTATCAAAGTCTGTATACACAGACCACCATTGTGAAATATTTATTGATGCAGGGACTCTCTTTCTTTTATTACTCATAGATTTGCTTCAATATATCATAAACCTTCCATGCACCCTCCTGCAGACGTGTTTGTAACCTGGAGCTATTTTACACTCAGTCATGGTCTGAAGTCTCATTTTACATCTGTCCCTCACCTCAGGCCTGTACTCACGGCTTCAGTTTCCCCCACAGTTATTAAGAAAAATATGCTTAGGTTCACACAGTGGTTTAGCATCCTGGTACAGTAGTGGGGCTAACCAAAGTCAACAGGGTATTAATTCCTCTCTAAACCTGGCCCTTACAAAGGGGTCCACCCTCGGTTCATGGCCTTGTCAAACTTCTGCAATCCCATCTCATTCGGAGGGTCCACAGACTTCCAACACAGCCACACCCGTAATAAGACACAAACCTCCTGCGAGAAACATTTTCATTTTAAAGAAACAGATCCATCAAAGTTCGCTAATCTGAACAAATGGGTCTGAGAGATGGCCAAAGAATGATAAGAGTGGTAAGTTGCACCCATATTGAGTGTTTCAGCACATTATTTCAGTGGCAGACCGTGCTGTCCCTCTACCAGGGCCAAAGGCAACACCTGCAGACTGTGTATCCCTCTGTTCCTTTGTGGGATTCCCTCAGCGTTTTACCAGCGGTGCTGTTCTCTCCTGCCCTGCCAGGTCAGTTTTTGTTGGAAGAGTCGCGGCTGCTGGAAGCGGCCGAGATGGCAGAAAAAGCTGCGCGCCTCGACAGCGGGGAGTTTGATGTGGTCTTCAGTGCAGCCCACATGCTCAGGTAAGTGTTTGATTAGAATTTGGGGTTTGTTTTTTTTTTTTTACATTTGATGATTTACATAGCCCCAGAACATGCACAAAGACACTGAATATATTTCATTCTTTGTATCTGAGATGGGTGGGCCACAGTTTTCTACGGCTGAGTAGAAAGGAGGCTGTGTATGAAAAAGGGAGGTCTACTGTCTGCATGGTTTATCCAGGGGCTTACATTACTCCTCAGCCAGTGTGATTTACTTGGCTATACTTTGTAATCCTCTTCTCTCGCTGCAGTGCCAGCTAGAGAGCTGCTGGTTTGTCTTAGCATGCTGTGCAGCTATGTATCTTCATATGCTGTCTCTCACTCTATCTCTACCTCTCTCCCACTGTGTCTCACTCTTTCTCTGTTGGCTCATAATTGAAAGTCTGCTTCCAAATCAGTGCTTGGTTCAGCTGATGAGCCTGAGCGGCAAAGCTTTAGCAGCCCACAAGCTGTTGTGTTTCTGAACGCAAGCCATGAGTGGAAATTTGTAAATACTGCCATGTGTCAACTTACAGTATGTTGCCCCACTGACTGAATAAACCTACACAATTATACAGTATGACCAAGTGTAGAGATTTTCTTCTTTAAACGCATCATGGGTTCAGACTTATAGCAATCAAGTCAGATAAACTTTTAATGTCAGCCTGTAGTTGTAACTCCAAGTTGTAGAAATCAAGAGTTTCTCATTGCAACAATATTGCCCATGTGCTGAAAAACAAAGAACTACAATGTTCTCAACAGTCAACAAAATTGTGGCGAAATGGCTGCATAGCCACCGTACAGTGGCAGTGACATCTAAACACAATCTAATGTTATACTGATACAATCTACTCAGATCATTCAAAAAGGAGTTATACACTGTTTTTATCAGGTTTTATTTATCAAACTGCTCCAAACTTGTAACGCATGAAAACACAGCATATTTAGGCCAATTAAAATATGGGATCATTTGGAATAAAGCATGAAGTCTCATTCTGCTGATAGCCTATGAATGCAGCAATAACCCCCTGCCTGTAAAACCAAATGTGCAATTTTTACACTTCACGGATTTGGTGCAGATTAAACAAATGAGATAAAACGTGTTCATTTGTGAGCTTAAAATGTGTTGGTGGGTGGATATTGTACCCTTTGGATACAGTCAGGCTAACTGTTTCCCCCTGTTTCCAGTCTTTATGCTGAGATAAGCTAACTAGATGCTGGCTGTAGCTTCATATTTAGTGTACAGTCACAAGAGTGGAATCAGTTTTCTCAGTTTCCTAAACTCTCTAACTTCCCTTTAAGACCACTAACCCATGTATTTAATCACCGGCGTTAGAGAGAAAACCCTGCTGCTGCTTTACCCGAGGGTACAGCATTGCTACACAGCTCTATGTAAGATTCTTGTGCTGCTGCTTTATGCGGAGCTATTCCCCCACCAGTCTGATCACGCAGGATCTTCACCACCAACAGCTTTCCGTATTGAGAGCCTCTTCCAGGGTCCAGACCCCTGGCAGCTAAAGAGGGCTTCAAGCAGTGCTGAGGCTGAACTTTTCTCCGCCTGCTTGGCATGGGGGCTCGCTCCTCCACAGCTCAAGTTCTTTATGTGTTTGTCTTGGACACAGACATGGAAAGGCCCTCGGTTGGTGGGGACAGAAGTGAATCTACACGGGAGAAGGGAAGAGATTAAAAGGAGAGGCAGACACTCTCAGATGTGCAAATGTCTTTTATTGCCCTCTTGGGTCCTTGGTTTTAGACCATTTTGCTTCCAAACTAATAATTTCCCAGTGCCTATTTTGAACATTTTTTATTTTTTATTTTAACTAACTCTGGTTTATAGTATGAATGTAATACAGGGCTGTTTGGGTAATGGTGAGGCCAATGGGGACGGATGTGCTTGTACTTCCCTTTAATGTGCCACATCTCAGTGAAAGCAACAAATTAGCAGACAGCATGGAAAATCAAATAGCTAAATATACACTCAAGTAGATTATGTCCTCATAGTTCACCTCATAGATTCCCATCCAAACCACAAGCCTTATATAATGATATGATACACCATATCTGAAAGATTTGTTTGTATATTACTAGCATGTTATAATGTTAAGGAATGCCTTTTTGCATATTTGGCTATTCCAGTTTCCAAGTGTAGAAATTTGTGTAAATTGATAATCATATAATGGTAAAATTGGTAGCAAGTTATGTAGGTGTACTTCACTTCCCTTTGGTGAAGATGTCTGTGTTCAGTGTAGCATTCTAAGATAATTTTACTCTAAAATGTAAAACTCTATTCGAGACAGATGGAACAGCTGTGGTTTTAGCACAAATATCTGGCAGTTGTTGAAAATGCAATTTGTTCATTCATTCATTAGTATCCAACAATGCTCTCTCAGTGATGTGATTTGTGCATGTCTGGGGTTAATAAACCATCCCCAGACAACAAGATGTCAGGGTAAAAAGATCAGTGGTTGAGTTGCTGATTTGAAATATGGTCTAGAATTTCCTCCTCCATTTTCCCATCCCTCTGCTACTCTTTATTCCTGCGCCCTTGTAGCCTAACACTGACTCTTCCTCGGGTTTAATCCCAGGCAGTGGTTTACATTCTTGGCCTCCATTGTCTTCTCTCAGAACCCGCAGTCAGGCAGCCGTAGGAGATCGCGCTGCTTCTTTGGCCATGGTGTGGGAGCTCTCCAGTTCTCCTTTGATAATGTGTTTATAAATGTGATGATGATATTATAGAATTAGATTTTGTGCTATATTTCTCATAAAGTTGTGCTTTCTAAATATTATGCTGGCAAACAAACATATGGTTGTGGTTGGACATGAAACCCACATTTATAATCTCAGGACAAATTCAGCAACTCAAGTCGGTGTCTGGACCGCCTTTGGAATGTAAAGTGCTTCTTTGGAACAGAGCTGGAAAAATTCAGTTGTGCTAAAAAAATAAACAGCAGTGGCATGTTCATCTGTATATCTTAAGTGTGTAAGTGCATAACATGTACTTGAGATCAAAATTATGATTTTTAGTCATGTTAGCATGACTCTAGAGAGGGTAATGTCAGTTGGTGAACTACTTTGGTCACAGACTGAAATATCTCAACAGCTAACTGAAAGGTTACCATGACATTTTGGTGACATTTTTTATGCTGAGGATTTATGCTACTGACGTTGGTGATCCCCCAAATCTTTTCGTCTTGTGGTTTGTAACTGATTTGTCTCAACAGTGTTGAAAATGTCTCAACAATTATTGGATGTATTACCACTAAATGTCATACAAACATTATTGCCCCCTCAGGATTAATTATCAATAATATTAGTTAAAATTGTCAAGTCAAAACTTAAATTTGTCCAATACTTGACAATGACCAAATACCTGGAAAGCAAATTTCAATCAGCATTTGCTGTACTTTGTGCTTTATGTTAATTAGCAAATGTTGATTACATTCCAATATTCTATAAGATACTATAAGATTGGGGTGCCTAGTTAGCTCAGTCGGTAGAGCTGGCAACCCATGTACGGAGTTGCTGCAGCGGTTTGAATCTGACCTGTGACCCTTTGCTGCGTGTTATCCTCTCTCTCCCCCTGTCCCGTTACTGTCAGTTCAAGGCAATAAAAGCCCCCAAGTGTCAATGCAACATGAAAATACTCACTTACCAG